AGGGGCCCTCAGTATTCAACCCCACTTTGCAACCTCACCTTCTGATACAGTGTTTTCTTTTTAAATGTATTTTATAGATATATTTTTACAGAGAGGAAAGGAGAGGGATAGAGAGTTAGAAACATTGATGAGAGAGAAACTTCGATCAGCTGCCTCCTGTACACGTCCTACTGGGGATGTGCCTACAACCGAGGTACATGCCCTTGACTGGAATCGAACCTGGGCCCCTTCAGTCCACAGGCCGATGCTCTATCCACTGATCCAAACTGGTTAGGGCTGATTCAATGTTTTTAGAATATATCTCAAAAGGTCTGAATGACACAACAGATATCTACCATTCCTTTTCTTTTCTCTCAAAACATGGATTATTTTCCCAAAATTATTAGTTAAGTCCTTATGTAATATTACCCCAGGGCTATAGAAACAGATTTTCTATATTTTATATTCCATGTGTGTGTGTGTGTGTGTGTGTATGTAAGGGGCAGGGGCTTAAATATTAAGGCACCAGAATAGCCATCTCTCACACTTTGGTGATTGTATTTGATTTGTGTTTATTTTCTTTAAGTCCAAGAAATCATATTTTTATGATTAATTTTGGTATGTAAGTGCCTTTTCTTTCTGTCTGGGTGAGCTTCACTCATCCCTGCAGGCTTACTATTAGCTGAAACTCCAGTCCTAGTCAGGAGGCGATGGACACAGCTGCCACTTGAATCCTCTCTCGTGAAACTTCTATTCTTTCATTTGTGGGAAGCACAGGGGCCCTCAGTATTCAACCCCACTTTGCAACCTCACCTTCTGATACAGATATTATTTATATCTAGATAAGATGTTGGATCCTTGTGTCCATGCTCCTTTAAGGCAATGGCTGTATTTTTCTCCTTCCTTTCTCCTCTGAGGGGAAGTGATGGGACATAGTGATCAAGGGCAAGGGTTTTCAATGTAGGAAGATATGGGTTGGAAGCACAGGGGCTGGTCTTCCCACACAATAATCTCTCTGAGGCTTGATCGCTGGCAGAGAGTTATAAGAAATAAATGCAGTGGCCCAAAGTATCTGTGACATTAGGTGGTTAATAAATTAGTATTATTCTCTTCCTGTCTCTTATGGCACCTGTGCATAGGCTAGCATGTGACAGATATGAAGCAAATTTCTATTGAGTGAATAAGTGGGTGAAATAATAGAATTTCAATCCATTATATAACCTTAACAAATATAATTTATAGTTGCTCTGTTACTTCTTTTATTTGATTTCAAATATCCTAAGATTTGGTTTGACTTTCATTGCATTTATGCCCATGGTTAAACAACAGTCTCTGAATTTTACCCGAAATCACCCATGATTTCTTCAGTGGATGTCTTCTGCACTGGTCCTGGGTGGCTTTAGGCTCTCGTGCACTTGATGATGAACTTGGCATGCTTCCAAGTGAAGCCTCCTAATTTTAGAGTCAAAATGCTGGGGAAACAAACCACAGATGTGCATTGAAATATGCACAGTATGAGTGCAGAGCCTTTTCTAAGAGTTATAATAAGAAAGGTCTTTAACCTAAAGAGGTTGTTTGAAAACTTAGCATATTTCCTTTTTTTCTTTGAATAATCCAAGAATACTACCTTGCTTTTCCCACATCACATTGGGTTTTGAGAAACTAAAAATATTTTATCAAAACATTTGTTCTGCAAGAGTAGTCTACAGCTCTCATATTTTTATAGGTCATAATAGATTTTAAATATTACATTCAACTCAAAAGAAGCTTTTCTTTCTATATTACATAACACAAAACATTTTTGCACTTTATAATTCAATTACTCTAATAATAACTATTATAAAATCTCTTTTTTTCTAAAAAGAGGTCAGAAAAATAAAATAAAAGATAATATTCTCTATAATAAAAGAGAAACATGTAAATTGACCATCCCTCCCCTATGCCCACCAGCCAAACAGGAATGAGTATGCAAATTAACCCAACAAAGATGGTGGGTTAATTTGCATACACAAGTGCCAGGCGGAGAGCAGAGCAGGATAGCCGGCAGCTTGGGGGGACGTGGCTCCCTCGGTCGCTTCCCACAAGCCGCCAGGCGGAGAGCAGAGCAGGAGAGCCGGCAGAGAGTGGAATGTCTTGGGGAACTTGGCTCCCCAAACTGCCAGACAGAGAAAAGAGAGGGAGAGCTGGTGGCTTGGAGGATTTGGCAGATAGGGAGGCCATGAGATGGAGACAAAGCAGGAAAGGAAAACCAAGAGCACGGGGAGCACCAGGAATTCTGGGAATAGTAGTTCTGGTGGCAGACGGATCTCCTAGACCCATGGTCGGCAAACTGAGGCTCATGAGCCACATGCGGCTCTTTGGCCCCATGAGTGTGGCTCTTCCTAAGCCTTAGGAGTACCCTAATTAAGTTAATAACAATGTACCTACCTATATAGTTTAAGTTTAAAAAATTTGGCTCTCAAAAGAAATTTCAATCATTGTACTGTTGATATTTGGTTTTGTTGACTGATGAGTTTGCCAACCACTATCTTAGACACTAGAGCAAAGTGAGCCTGGAGCAAGTTACTGTTGTGGTGGGGGGTGGAGGGAAAGCAAAGGTGAGAGACATTAGTAAAATCAGAGTGTCTAGGAAAAATTAAAGGGAAGATATTCTAAAACTTCCAGGAAATCTCCACCAATGAAGCAAAGAAAAAAAAGGCTTCATTATTCTGTGAGCAACAAACCAAACTGAGTTGGGGTCTCAGATAATTCACTCATATGATTGCAAAGACAGACAGAAACTCCTGGACTGGAGAGGGCTCCCCTGAGGGCTCCCAGATTGGAGAGGGTGCAGGTCAGGCTGAGGGACCCCACACTCCCCAGTGCATGAATGTCGTGCACCGGGCCTCTAGTAATAAAATAAAAGGTTAGAATCTTCACTGTTAGTAGAGCAAACTTTTTTAGGGACTTGCTCTTTGTCTTTTGTTTGCCTAGAATATCCACTATTCATCTCTCCATGTGGAAGTTGGGCCATTTGTTAGTTCAATATGTATTTACTGAGATCTACCTGTACAAGGAACTAATTATATTTGTAGCTTTAGAGAAGATACTCATAGAATATTTAGCTTTACCTGTAGTTGAATGTGAGCATCTCTGCCTTTCACACCTCACAGAATAGCTTCCTTGCCTACGTGGTGTACCAGTTAACTATGAGCTTGTCTCTTACCTCCTACAAGACTAAATGTGTTGTAAGAAGCCTTCATTGTTGTAACCCTGGTAGAGTCTATCTCAGCTCCTGGTCGCTATTTGTGTCAAGAACCTATCGAGCTTATTGGAGTGTGTAGGTACCCATATGGAGATTAGTAGAACCAGAATCCAAAAGCTCTGGTTCCTAGACTCTACTAATCAAAGACATTTGCTTCTAACTCCCCAGGAATTCCACATGTGCTGACATAGAGAGTGTTCCAGGCAGCACGGACCCATCTCTCATGCAGAACGGGCTTGCTTTTAGAACAAGCCTCATCCAGAATGTAGGAGAGACATGCTTGAGACCCTATATTCCACTCTTACCCAGTCATTCCCAGTACAGTTGGAAAGCAAATAGGAAAGTTGACTTCATTTAACTGACAATGTTGTTACGTTTATTAAGCAAGTACTGCAAAACCAATTGAAAGCTGAGTTGTTTTAATTTTCAAAATGGAAACATTTTACTTGAAATACCACCATTAGCTAAGTTGTCTAATCTGACTTAAGGCCCTGCCCATACTTTGGATCATAAACAGATTGGCCTCCATCCTTTTTCAGTTGCCTTGGGTCTGAATATTAGCTAAGTTATGCATGCTACATCAGGAACATCTGATGCACCTATGTGTAGAGGAATCATCAGTCCGGATGAAATACATGTATCTCATCTCTCATTTCCTAATATTTTGGGGAGAAACTTCTGAAATGTCTGATTAAAAAGAAACAAAAACAAAAATGAATCAGCAGGGAAGAGACAGAAGAAGCAAGCCAGGTGGCTTCTCAGATCTCTTACTTTGTTACCCCCACCCACACACACACACACACCAGGCAATTGTTTCTTCAGTTTCTTTTCTTTTTTAAAAAATTATTTAAAGAATTACATATGTCTCCTTTTTCCACCATCGACCCCTTCCCGGCCACTCCCACCCCCCAGGACAAATCCCCACCACCCCAGTGTCCATGTCCATTGGTTATGCTAATATGCATGCATACAAGTCTTTGGTTGATCTCTTACGCCCCCTCTCCCCGCCCCCCACACACACACCACCCTCCCCGGCCTTTCGTCTTAGGTTTGACAGTCTGTTTGGTCTTTCTCTGTCTCTGGATCTATTTTTGTTCATCAGTTTATGTTGTTCATTATATTCCACAAATAAGTGAGATCATGTGATATTTATCTTTCTCTGACTGACTTATTTCACTTAGCATAATGCTCTCCAGGTCTCTCCATGCTGTTGCAAATGTTCCTTCTTTTTTATAGCAGTGTAGTATTCTGTTGAGTAGATGTACCACAGTTTTTTAATCCACTCCATCTGCTGATGGGCTGTTTCCAAATCTTAGCTATTATACATTGTGCTACTATGAACATAGGGGTGCATATGTCCTTTCTAATTGGTGTGTCAGATTTCTTGGGACATATTCTTTGTACTTTTGGTGCCAGCCTTATATTGCTATTTCCTTAAGTGAAATGAGAATTTGGACAAGGAAGAATGAAATGGGTGAAAATTGAACACCTTTCTGACAGGGCCTGTCATAGTCATTTGACAGATGTAGGATTGTGAAGACCAAGATTGGATACAATCCATCATGTTGCAGCAATCAACATTGACTTAGTTTTTTTATGCCGATGCCATACATTTTATCTTGGTAAGAGGCAATAAATGTCTAAGGCTGGTATTTAAAGAGTAATAGTAATATTAACACTAGCTGTCAGAGGTAGTATCTAACCTATGTTTATGAGCTTACCTGAAATCATTTCCTGGCCTCTTTAAGTCCATTTTCTTTTTAAATTCTTTTTACAGGTAAAGATAAGATTAAAGTGTCTGAGGATGACTTGAAGAAACTCCCTCTAATTAAATGGTGTATTTTGGAAACGATTCGTTTAAGAGCCCCAGGTGCCATTACTAGAAAAGTTCTATGAAACCAGTTAAAATTTTGGTAAGCTTTAATTTGGCTTTAAAATAATCTCTCTAGGAAAAAAAATGCACATATCTTTCCCATATATTATTAGATAATTCCTTAAATTCCAGTAGCATCAAATGACCTAGGAATAGATCACTAACAAGAGTTGTATAGCAACATTTTGTCAATGTAGGTATTTTCCCATTGGTGAGGATTTTAGCTACAATATAATATTTTAATAATCATTTTGGCTATGTGATTATGTATCAAAATTAGTATAAGCCTATTTCAATCAAGCAGGTGGATTAGATAATATCTCCACTGCTGAGCAACCATAGGTTGAGGAATTCATGTGCAAGAGAAGTTCCAACTAGAGACAGTTTCAGACCACAGATTACAGATATGGGAACAGATAATTGATATTAGCAATCAGCGTCCGAGTAGGGGAGAGAGGTCCTTTTTATGGGCAGAATAGGAGAAAATTCTGAAGTGCACCATGAAAAGTATGTGTACATGGCAGAATTTCAGGTCAATATTTGCTGAGTCAATCAGGCAGAACTAAATATTGTTTCAGAATGATTTGACTTTGAGCCTGCAAGATCACATTAAGTCAGACCTCCACTCTTGGCTGTTTTTACACACAGCATGAGAGTGCCTGGATTCAAACCAAGAACATTTTGTAGTGGTACAACACGAAAAGATAAAAAAAAACCCAAATTTTATAAAGCTTGCAACTTGCTAAATTCAGAAGAGACGTTTGTTTGTTTGGCTGATCTTACATTAATTACAGGATTTAGTTTTAGTGTGATTTTAAACAGTTTTTGCTTTTAAATAATCAAATTCTTAATTACTTTAAGAGTATAAAATAATATGCTTTCAGAGGAAATAGTCAAACAACTTGGTGCAATTAAGTAGAACAATGTGTTTATTAGTCTGAATAGTACTATAATTTTCTTGAACTTTTATTTATATTATTTATATTATAAATGTTGATAATATATAAATATGTGAAAATAAATATATACATATATTATAAATGTTTACATTATACAGTGCGGTGCAAAAATAGGTTTACAGTTCTATGTATGTGAAACAGAGCTTATTCTTGTATTATTATTTATTAACTGTATTATTTTCTTTGTAAAAACTATAAACCTACTTTTGAACACTCTTATATTATTTATTTTATAGCCTCATTTATATTCTGGCTAGTAGATAATTACTTGAATTACACAATCATTTATCTGCCAGCAGGCATCTTCATTTTTATTTTATTACACAGATTCTATACATGTTTTGTTAGATTTATACCTAAATATTTCAGTTATTTTGAAGCTTTTATAAATGGTATATTTTCAAGTTTTAAGTCTCAATTGTACATGACTTGTTTATAGAACTACAGCTGATTTTTTTTTGTATGTTGACCTTGTATCTGCAACTTTGCCAACCTCACTTATTGGTCCTAGGAGTGTTTTTGTAGATTCATTAAGAGCTTCTTTGTAGATAATATTTTCATTTCTTCCTTTCCTACCTGTATGCCTCTTCCCCCTTCTTCTTGCCTTATTGCATTGGCTCTGTCTTCCAACACCGTGGTGAATTACTGTGGTGACAGCAGATATTCTTGCCTTGTTCCTGATTTTTATGGGAAAACATTTAGTCTTTCCTTGTTAAGTATGTTGGCTGTAGGTTTTTTGTAGATACCTAGAATAAATCTCATTTGATCAGGATGTATACTTTTTTAGACATTGTTAGTTTCTTTTGCTAACATTTTGTTGAGGATTTTTGCATCTAAGCTCCTGAGAGTTATTGGTCTAGTTTTCTTCACTTTTTATTTTGTCCTGTTTTGTTTGGTTTCTATACCATGACAGTCTCTTCAAAGCTGTTTTATGCTTGTCCTGTACCCTTTTCATACGCACTCACACTCCTTTCTTTCATCCACTCTTCCTCCTTCATTTCTTTTCTTCCTTCCTCCCTTTCTTCCTTCCAATCACATGTATTTCCTTATGAAAGACAGAAAAGAAAAAGTCAGCAGTATAGCTCTCTTCTTTTCTTCCTTAGTTCCTTTCTGTTTCTCTCATTTTCTCTTTCTGGTCTCATTCTTCAGGTTTTTTACCCTGTAATTGCTCTCCCTTAAAGATTGTATTCCAGACCCTGGTCAGGTAGCTCAGTTGTTTAGAGTGTTGTTCCCATATACCAAGGTTGTGTGTTCAATCCCTGGTCAGGACACATACAAGAAATAACCAATGAATGCATAAATAAATGGACAACAAAGCCATGTCTCTCTCTCTTTCTCAAATCAATTAAAAAATAAAGTTACCATTTTGTCTGTACTAACCGTGCCCATGACCAAACCAGGAAGAAAAAAACCCATAAGGATTCTTATGTCTAAATTCTTATAACATTTTTTCCTGCTGCTTTTGGATTTCTTCTGTCTCTTGCGAGTTCCAGTGTGGTTTATGTGGTTTCAACACATTTCACCTTGCGCTTCTTTAACCAGTCGCTCTGCCTGCCACATACATGGCAGCTCTGCACCCCTCTTCTCAGACATAACACCTGGCTGTGCTATTTCATTAGCTAAGTATCTGAGATCATCACAGGGTGATTGTATAATAAGCAATGTTTAATTTGTTACATAAATAGATTTCCTTCCCAGACACAACCAAAAACTTTTAGGCACACACCACTTTCCAACCAATGTAACACACTTCCTCTGAGATTGTGTTCCTTCGGGCTCCTGCTATCCTGCCTTTGGATATTCTCCTGCTGTTCATTTATCTTTATTTGATTAATTGTACTTACACCCCAATACTTCTTCCTTCACTAAACACTACTTTGTTCTTGGGATTCTGTGCTCATCCTCTTTCTTTTCCTTTAGCTTCTCCTATGCCACCACCTGAAGCCTGTCTCCCCGGCCCCCTTGTTTCCCTTCTAGCAGGAGGAGTTTTCCACTGGGCAGATGTTAGTTTCCTGCTTATTTCATTTTACTTTTCATTTCCTTGAAGATGACTCAGTTAATGTTCTCTTTTCTTGTATTTTTATTTTACATAAGCGTGCTGGCACAAATGTATTTGTTTTTCAGCATAAAATTTCTTATCTCTTGACCAGCGACTCACTTGTCTGCTGGTCAATGTTGGTACTGATATGATCACTCTATATTCCACCATCCCTCACACCCCCTGAACCCCTTTTTTATCCTTAAGTGAGTAGCTTTTGGGGGAGCTTTTAACATCATATCCTTGTCAGATTGTTGGGGCTGTTAATATCACATAGTTTTTTAAAATTAATTTTGCTTATTTCAACAACTTTACCAAAAGAAACATCCATGTTCAAACACATGCCTATACATATGCACTCATGCGTACACAACCCTACAACCCCACAACTGTACTGTAACAACTACCCAACATTCTCTTTGTATGACATCAGTAGATAAATCTAGTTCTTGTCACAGTGTAAATATGTCATTTTAAAAAGTTGTTAACGTTATTTTTTATTTTTCATGCATCTAGAGAGTTTTCATATTTATTTCCATTGCCACATAATCATCCATGGAGTTAATAGCTTGAATACTTAATTATTTCTTGGCTCTTGAGAATTTAGATTGTTTTACTTTGTGGTTCTTTTAATGTGGTAATTACTTGCATCTTTGAGCAGAGTACATTTCTTTTTTTTTAATCCTCATTCAAGGTATGTTTATTAATTTGAGAGAGAGAGAAGGGTGAGGGAGGAGAGAGAGAGAGAGAGAGAGAGAGAGAGAGAGAGAGAGAGAGAGAGAGATCAGAGAGGAGAGAAACATCGATTAGTTGCCTTCCATACTTTCTCTGACCAGGGATCAAACCTGCAACCTTGGTATGTGCCCTGACCAGGAATCGAACCTTCAACCTTTTGGTGCAGTGGAAAACACTCCAACCAATGGAGCCAGCTGGCCAGGGCCATTTTCTTTTTGTAATGATTATACTTGAATTATGTGTTACTAGTGGATTACTGGTCCAAGGGTATAAACACACTTATGATTCACAACATACAACCCTCTTATAAAGTCTAACATCTATGGGATAAAATATTTTGAATTAGACATAATGGATATCCAAAACGAGTCAAGAACTTATTTTAAATAATTATGAGCCTCATATCTCCATTTCCTAACACCCTCACTCTCTTCCTGGAGGACATGAGGCTACTCACTACCTGTTCAGTCTCCTTCCAGACCCCAGCAGCTGTGACGGCATCTCAGTGGTGGGACAGGTCTCTTCTTTCTCAGAGACCTGTGCTCAGGCTGCATCTTCCCAGAATGCCCCAGTCCTTCCTTCGTTATTTCCCACAATATGCTCTTCACAGCTATAAAAGGTGCAGTGTTTCCTGCACTCACTGTTTCTTTTGTAAAAGTGGCCTTCCGCATAGGAGGCCCACACGCACCTAGATTTCTCCCTAGGGAGATGAGACTTTAACTTTAATAACTTGCACAGTTTTCATTATGTAAGTAATTCATTATGTAAGTAATTAGAAAACAGAAGATGAAAGAAGAAATGAAAAATTGCTAACAATTTCATGTCAAAGATAATTCCTGTGAACACTTTGGTATTGTTATGATTTCAGATTTTTTTTTTCCTGTAGTGTGTGCAAAAATTCAATTGGGGTCATACTGTGTTAATTTTTTATAACCTGCTTTTATTTTACTTAATAATAGGTCACAAATAATTTTCTATATCAATAAAAGACATCTACACCATTTGAATTGCAACATAATAATCTAATATATGGATAGAGTCTAAATTTTTTCATCAGTTCCCCATTCTTGATTATGTATATGGCTTTCATTTTTTTCACTATGCCTTTGCTGAATATACTAACACGTTCTTAAGAATTTGTATTATAGAAAACATTTCATATGGGACTATCTGTATTGAGCAGTGGCAGAGGCTCATTCATATTTTCCCTCCTGTTGGACAGCTGGTCAGGGTGTCTTGCTATGAATGCTAGAAGTATTCTCACACTGCTCTTCCCCTGAGTAGTCTGAACAGGGTATCAGTATTCATTTTTGCTTTTGTATTCTTTTCTATTAAAATGAACAACTACCTGCTTCCTTGGATTTACTCCATTTCTTCTTTCTCTTTATTATGCCGTCTTTTGAAAACTCTTAAACTTCTACCTATACTCTTTTCAAGGCTTCATATTTTTAGTACAAAATTAATCTGCAAGAATACCAAGCAAATAATAAACAAAGTAGTATTGGAAAATATGAATAATTAAGACATATTAATTACCTTCTTGAGGTATTAAAATGTTATAAAACTATTAAGACATGTTATTAAAACAAGTATTAAAATGGCATCATATTGGTGTCAGACCAGATTGTTAGATCCATAGAACAGATTAGATAGATAACAAAAAAACAAAACCCCTTACACATAAGAATTTAACAGAATAAGTAAATCATTATAAGTTCATGAAGAGGAAAGAGATTAATATATGGTTTGAGATGACTAGCTAAAGGCAGGAAAAGGTGGGGAGAGGGGGAAAGTAAGAGATCAAACCAAAGGACTTGTATGCATGCATATAGGCATAACCACTGGACACAGACAATAGAGGCATGAGGGCCTGTGCTGGACTGTGGGGGCAGGCTGGGAGAGGTCAATGGGGGGAAAAGGAGACATATGTAATACTTTAAACAATAAAGAATTTTTTAAAAGTTATAAATTGCCCCTCAACAAATAAATTTACACTAATAACAGAGAAACATGCAAATTGGTGTCACTTCACTATGCCCACCAGCCAATCAGAGCAGCTAAGCAAATTAACCCAACAAAGATGGCAGTTAATTTGCATACACAGGCATTCAGTGAAGACTCAAGACTGAAGAGACTTGGCCCACTGCGGCCGGACCAAAGGCCTGGGTCCCGGGTGCCAGAGGAAAACCGGTGCCGGCAGCCAGGGGAAAGAAGGCCTATTGCGTGAATCTTTATGCAACAGGCTTTTAGTATACATATAATTTCTCAAAAAAAATATAAATAAAAAACGTGGGTACTTTTTTAACATAGTGGTTCTCAAACTTTTGGTCTCAGGATCTCTTTATCCTTTTCAAATTTATTGATGATCCCAAAGAGCTTTTGTCTGTGTGAGTTATATATATTTACTGTATTAGAAACCAAAGCTGAGAAATTGTTGAAGTATTTATTTAGTAATTCATTTAAAAAGAACAAGAAACCCTATTACATGGTAAATAAATAGCCTGGTTTTAAGAAACATATTTTCCAAAACAAAAAGTGAAGAGTAGCATAATTTTTAAATTTTTGTAAATCTGATGTCTTGCTCATAGAAGATATCTGAATTCCTATGTACGTGTCTACAATCAGTCTATTGTGATGTATTGTTTTCATTGATGGAAATGAAGAAAATCCAGCCTCACATTGACATGCAGCCAAAAAAGGAGTGTTTTAGTAGCCTTTTCAGATATTTGTGGCTATTCTTTGATACTACACTAAAACTCAACAGTGGTATTTTCTTATAAGTTTGTTGCAA